TTGGTTGCGGGCACATCCCCAGTAGGGGGTGTGCAAGAGGCAGCTGATCGATGGTTCTCTCTCATCGATGTTTCTAACTTTCTACCTCTCTCCCTTCCTCTCTGTACAAAATCAATAAAATATATATATATTTTTTTTTTAAAAAAAGGAAAAACTCTTTTCCAAGGTTTCCAGAAAGAGACTTGGTTTTCTAGACAATCTGACTTCTTTATAAGTAAAAATATTTTCCCGTTGTAATTTTCTTGTTCTAATTAAAGTGTTAAGGTACGTTAATAGTCCTTTTCTTTTCAATTTCTGGTATTGAGATTTCTGATTTAAAATGTGGCTGAAACACATGTTTTTCATTTATAGAAAGTAAGATGTTTAAAATGAGGCATTCTTCCTAGTTGATGCATTATTAATCAAAGGATAAAAATCTAAGTATGGGGCCGAAAAAAAAAAAAAAAGGAAAAAAAAAGAATACCTGTGATTGACTCCTCCTGAGAGTTACTAAACAGTTTCAGCCACATGTGACCAGGTCATTCAATATCATGAACTAGATAAATAGCATTGTAAACAGGAAGTAGGTCTTAAAGCAGTAAATTACCAATTTACCAAGGAATTACCAAGTAATTTAGCAAGTTCTTTACAAAGAACAATAGGTCAAAGTTTCCAGGGAATGCATTAAAAAGTCAAGAATGGAAACCCTAAAAAATGACAAACTGTTCAAAGGCAGTTGTGGATGGCCTAACCCTAAACCTGACCTACATCAAAGGGTTTGTTTGTTTGCTTGCTTGCTTCTAACATCCTGAGAGTCAAGTATCGGCAGTAAAAATCTCTCTCCTGGTTCTTGGCGCTGCCATAAAGCCCATGTCGTTTAAACAAATGGATGTGGCTGGTGCTTTTAAGAATTTGCACACAAGGCTCAAATGTCCACCATGAAGGGGACAAGCCTCCAAGAGAAAAGGTATACAAACTAGATAAATAGCATTATCTATTAAGCAACGGAATTGCTTAATTTCAGGGGAGAAGGATAAAAAGAGGTGGTGTGAATGTAATATGGTTTACAATTTAAATGATGTTAGTGAATAGAATATACACTCAGTAGCCCGATTATGATGACCTCTGAACGCATAATAAGCTGGCCACTCAGTGTATGTCACGTTGTTAGTGGACATACCAATTTTTTATATTGCACACACATATAGAAACTTAAATGGAAAATAATCTAGAATAATTTAAACTGCTAGCTGGGATGTTTTTCTATAAAATGGTTTAATTATATGATAAAGAACACTTTAAAAAAAATATGAGAAATTATCCATTACAAACTGCAGAGTACTCACAGGAAAGTAATTAAAAGGTGATGCCCCATCCCGGCTAGGGTGGGAGCATCAACCTTGAACCAAAAGGCTGGGGGTTCAATTCCCAGTCAGGACACATACCTCGGTTGGGATTTGATTCCTGGTCTGGGCACGTATGAAAGGCAACCAACCCACACTGATGTTTCTCTCCTCTCTCTCTCTCTCTCTTTCTCTCTCTCTCTCCTTTCCCTCTCTCTAAAAATCATTAATCATATCCTTCTGATATTCTAAATAAGTTAGTTTTGAGAGATCAACCAAAGGACTTATGTGCATACATATGAGCCTAACCAGTGGTCAAGGACAATAGGGGCTGGAGGCATGAGTGGGGGAGGTGGGGAATTGGAATGGGGGTATACGTGATACCTTAATCAATAAAGAAAAATTTAAAAAATAAGTTAGTTTTTCTTAGTTCCAAATATGCAGGAAATGAAATAATATCCAAAAATTTTATGAACTAAGTTCACTAATTCTGACATTCTTTTCATAATAGAAAATTGCAATTGTTGTTCTCTGTCTAAATTAGAATGTATTTTATATAATTTATAACATTTGCTGCACATGAGAGAATCCCAAATCTGGCTTTGTATTCAATTACTAGGGAACTTTTAATTTATTTTTTAAATCTTTATTGTTCCTGGGGAACATTTTAAAAATAAGTTCTTGGGCCCTGGCCATTGTGACTCAGTTTGGCTGAGAATCATCCCATGTACCTGAGAGGTCAAAGGTTCAATTCCCGGTAAGGGCACATGCCTGAGTTGTGGGCTCATCCCTAGTAAGGGTGTGCATGAGGCAGCTGATCAGTTTCTGTTTCATCAATGTTTGTCTCTCTCTCCCTTCCTCTCTCTCTAAATCAATAAAAAAAATATTTTAAAAAAATATTTTAAAAAATCCTGGAGATTTTCATTTGGAAAGTTTGGAGTAAGTGCCAGGAGTCAGTATCCTATATAATAAAAGCTAATATGCAAATAGACTGAATGGCAGAATGGCAGAATGACTTGTCGCCATGACCTGCACTGACCACTAGGGAACCCGCTTAGCCAGAAGCCGGGCTCACAGCTGGGGAGCGCAGTGGCGAGAGCCTCTCCCACCTCTGTGGCAGTGCTAAGGACCCCTCAGGGGATGTCCGCCTGCTGGCTGAGGCCCGCTCCCTAAACGGCAAGCGGACATTCCCCAAGGGGTCCCGGACTGTGAGAAGGGGCAGTCCAGGCTAAGGGACAACCTCCAGTGCACAAATGTTGTGCACTAGGCCTCTAGTATTGGCTAAAATATAAAGCTCATGTTAAGTGTACTCAGGGATTTCCTCCTCTGATTCAGCTAATTCTTGGAACTGGTCCCTTATTTCAGTGCTTTTCAAACTCTGCTGTTCATCATTTGCAGATGTGACTAAGCGGCAGATTCTGATTCATTGGTCTGGAATGAGGCCTGGGAACATACAAATTCCAACAAGCTTTGCTAGGAAGACTTATAGGATCTTTCAGTCTTTCCCCAAGCGAATGATAGGAGGCAGGTCCTACTGCTAGAACATTTTCTTCAACTCTTGCCTAAACATCCTTTAGCATAGATAGATGCATAATTTGCAAAATAACTTGACCTAGCTTTACTATATGGCCTGCTACCAAGGGAATGGAAATGACTTTCCCCATTTACAGAGTATCCCTGAAGATGCAGAGGTGAGATTAAAATGTACCTAATACCCAATAAATACATATGGATGTTGACCACAACATGATTGTAATGATAAAACGCTGGAGGAAAATCTAAATATCCAATAATAGAGGACTGATTAAATAACTTATAAGGGCACCTAGTAAAATAATGACGTAAGTGTGTAATTACTGGCAATGAAAAGATGTCAGTGATACGTTTTAAAAAGGTTTTGTAAAAGCTTATCGTTTGATTCCAAATTTGTGCGGGAGAAAAATACACAAAAGGCCATATATACATTTATGCAAAAGGGTCCAGAAAGATATACTAAATTGTTTAAAGCGTCCTCAAAGTACTAGAATTTAAGGTGGTTGTCTTTTCTTTGGCGGGGTGTGTGTGTGTGTGTGTGTGTGTGTGTGTGTGTGTGTAAGGAATGCCCTGAGCGGACTCTCTGGGTGCATGGGAGGATGCTCAACCAACTGAACAACACCGGCAAGGGCCTCAGGTGGTTTTCATGTTTGTTTCCTCGCATTATCTAATATTTCCACTGTGACACAGACTTTATAAAATTCTTCAAGGATTAAAAAGGGGGTGAGAAGAAATTCAAGCAAATCCCCTACCTGCAAGCACTTTTCAGGAACTACTATAACTGCTCTACTGCTAAATTATTTGCATTCCAAAGAGTCATCAAGGGATTTCCCACTTTCAAAACACTTTGTTTTTTTGTTTTGTTTTTGTTAATCCTCACTCCAGGATATTTTTCCATTGCTTTTTTACACAGAGGGGAAAGGAGGGAGGGAGGGGGGAGGGAAGGAGGGAGGGAGGGAGAGACCTAGTTGAGAGAGACACATCTACAGTCACAACTGCCCCAACCAGGGCCCCAGGGCTAGGGATTGAACCTGAAACCTAGGTAAAAGTCCTTAACCAAAATTACCGTCTTGTGCTCCACCCAGACCTGCTGAATTTGAATCTCTGACAATAAACTCCTGAATCTGCATATGAAGCAGTCATTGACTTTCACAAAGAGTACAGTTTGGAAACTTGGTGTTAAACAAAAAAGCTTTCTAGAAAATGCAGAGACTTACACTGAATTTCAAACCTGTCTCAATGGCAACCTGTAGCATATTCAGAAAGGGGGAAATCAGACACAACCACTAGAATCTGAACTACAGTCACCTGCCTGGAATTACTGGCTTTATTCTGTTAAGTTTAAGCATCTCCAGTGAAAACTGACCACTGTCTGGAGCTGACGGAGGTCACAAAGGTTTTCCTTATATCTGACCTACATCTGTCGGAAACTCTATTATTATAACTCCTTCTATGATTCTTGACCCCCTCGGTGGTCATTCGTGAGTTAGAAGTCCACATAAACATCTGTTATGGAACCAAATATCAAGCTGATCCAACTCCAGTCCTGTTGCTTTCGTGTCTCCTTCCTAAGCACATTGCACTGGACTAACCTCAGTGAATTCTGCTGATTATTTCTTCCAGAGATCCTCTTCAAGGTAAACACAAAGGCATGTGGGAGTTTATACTAACAGAAGCCCTCCAAGAACCAAGAAAAGCATTTCCTGTTCTAAAAAAAAACAGTCCACGAACCCCCAAAAATGTGTTAAGAGGAAAGGGAGATATCGCAGAATCTATGGCTCACATGCCACAGTCTCGAGCACTTAGTATATCAAGTCTCGAGGCACAGATTTAGTAAGAAGTTGTAAAAATGAGCCGTTAAAGAGTTTCAGGAATTTCCTAACGTTGATAAATTCAGAGCATTTTCCCACAGAAAGACATCATGGCGTATTCCCTTGTTAAACCAGAGGGGAAAGCCACGGGACAGAAAAAATAGTTGGCGTGAGGTCCTAAGAGGATCTAGGAAAAGGGCATCGTTTTTTGGGAGGTGGGGGGACAAGCGCTTAATTTTATTTTAATCTCGGATGCGTTTGGATCCTGGATCGCTCAGAAGACCCGGTCCACTAAAGCTGGGATTGATTAAAACCAGGAAGGTTATATACCGACCTGCAGCTCACACCAGGCGACCTCAACCCAAGTCTCCGTGTCCAGGCCTTTGTACACGGTTTTAAATGCTCCTCTGCCCAGCTCGATGTCGAATTTCAGGAAGCGGCCACTAGGAGAAGTAGCCACGGCCTTCATCTCCGCCTCTTCTTCCATCTCCTTTTCATTTTTCTCCTTGGGACAATCTTTGGAGGCTTCTGAAGTTGCTTTTGACCCTTGCGAGAATTTGGCTTCTTTTTCGCTTCTTAGCACGTTTGCGGGGAGCATCTCTCCTCCTGGAGTAGCTGCTGCTGTCTTCGTCTTCTCAGCATCCTTGGAGGGAGAATCCACAACTTTGTCATCCACACTCTTTCGGAAGAATCTCTTCCTTTCGACGGCTTCGCCCCCGGCGGAGATGGCACTGCCTTTCTCCTTCAGTCTGCTCTCCACGGTCAGCGTGGCTGCCATCTGATGGACTCTGTTTTCCAGCGAAACCCCATCAGGTTTCTCAGAATCCTCCGTGCTGGCTGGCTCCCCTGAATCAGTAGCCATGGTAATTAAGGTTGGCACTGAAAATTTCCCTGCGCTGCCCTTGAGTCCAGTTACATCTCAGGTATCAGAATGATCAGAATGGACTTCCTTTTTATGTGGTCACGTTTCCATAGTAACCTGAAAGGGGAAAAAAAGGATATTTTAAAATTACCTCACAAAGGAAATCATTAAGGAGAAAACAAGTCACCTGATTGTTTAATCCATTTTTTCTTAATAAGAAGTTTGTTCTTTTTTTTTTTTTTTTTTTTTTTTTTTTTTTTTTTTTTTTTTTTCTGTCCAAGCTTAGCAACGGGCAGACTCCAGGGACTATGTCTTTATCTTGTTTACCACTGTAACCTGCAGTGCCTAGCAGGCTGCTTGGCATACAGCTCAGTAAGTCTTCAGATTGAATGGATACTGGTTAGGAACCTAGTTCTCAGTGCCATCTATCAATCCATCATATTTAAAACAAGTATCTAGACCTGTGTTCACTTAGCTACAAGGTAAAAAGGTAACACACGAGAATTAAAACAAGCACATTGCTCCTCAGTAATTGTTTTTCGTCTAAAATTCTGGAATCCGATGGTAGTCTTTTTATTGTGGCAAAATATACTTAATATCAAATTTACTATTTTGACCATACACCTCGGTGGCTTTATGTATAGTCACAATGTTGTACAATCATCACCATGATTTGTTTCTAGAACTCTCCATCCTGGATCACTTCATCATACCAAATGGAAATACTGTGTCCATTAAACTATAACTCTTCATCACTCCAGTCCCTAGTAAACCCGATCCTACTTTGTGTCTCTGTGAATTTGTTTATTCTAGGTGCTACATCCAAGTGGAATCATATAGTGCTTGTTCTTTTGTGTCTGGTTTACTTCACTCAACAAAATGTTTGCAAGGTTCACTGATGTTGTAGCATGTTATCAGAATCTCATTCCTTTCTAAGGTTGAACAATATTACATTGTGTGTATACTGTATGCCACATTTTGTTTATCCATTCATCTGCTCAAAGGATTGGGCTGTTTCCACCTCTTTTTAAAAAATATATATTTTATTGATTTTTTACAGAGAGGAAGGGAGAGAGATAGAGAGCTAGAAATATCGATAAGAGAGAAACATCGACCAGCTGCCTCTTGCACATCCCCTACTGGGGATGTGCCCGCAACCAACGTACATGCCCCTGACCGGAATCGAACCCGGGACCCTTCAGTCCGCAGACTGACGCTCTACCACTGAGCCAAACCGGTTTCGGCTGTTCCCGCCTCTTGAATACTATGAATAATGCTGCTATGAACATCCAATTGTAGCTTTGAGGTACACAAATACATGTTTATGAGCTTGCCTTCGATTTTAGCAGAAACTACTGTAAAACATTAACATAAAATACGAAAAAATTAAAACACAATACTAAATCTGTTAAGAAACACTTTAAAATACACATTCTCTTGAACCAGCAATTCTACTTATAGGAACTTGCCTGAGAAAATAGTCAATTTGTGCAAAGATTAATTATAAAGACATTCATTACAGCACTTAATAATTTGGAAAAAACTGTAACTAAACATAAACCTAGTAGGGATTTAATTAAATATCTCAAAATGAGATGGATACAGTATTTTTTAAAAAACCACTAGCTTTTAATGATATTAAAAGACATCTATATATTATATGGTTAAATGAAATATATATAATAAGCTTTCATATATACATACATACATGATATTAATTCTGAATTGTATAATTATGGACTTTCTGCTTTTCTGTATTTTCTTACATTTTCCACAAAGAACATGTGGAAATATGTGGAACATATAAAGTTATTTTTAAATTTTATTTTAAAATTATAGTTTACATTCAATATTATTTTGCATTAGTTTCAGGTGTATAGCAAAATATTTCAGGGACCACTTTGTAAAGTACATGATCATCTAAGAAAAAGGTTTTTCAAATGAATAGTCTAACTACCAGTAAGAAAATTCTTCTCACCGAAACTGGTTTGGCTCAGTGGATAGAGCGTCAGTCTGCGGACTGAAAGGTCCCAGGTTCGATTCCAGTCAAGGGCATGTACCTTGGTTGCGGGCACATGCCCGGTAGGGGGTGTGCAAGAGGCAGCTAGTTGATGTTTCTCTCTCATCAACGTTTCTAGCTCTCTATCCCTCTCCCTTCCTCCCTATAAAAATCAATAAAATATATTTTTTTAAAAGAAAGAAAATTCTTCTCTTCTCACCATAAACATGCATCCCAAAGTTAAATTCTGTCTAACTATTATTATGTCATACACCTTAGAAGGCACTTTTTGTCACAATAAAATACGGAGAAATATCAAATTTGAAACCTGAGAATAACAATCCTTAACTAAAACAAAATGGGGAGAAATACCCTAAATTGTTCTACATATCAAAAATAAATCCTATCAATATCCACCTAGTTTCTTCGCAGAATTAACAAATTGACCCTAAAACTCATAAAACTTTGAGGGACCAGAATAGCCAAAGGCAAAACAATCTTGAAAAAAGAACAAAGTTGGAGGACTCATCCTTTCGAATTTTAAAACCTACCACAAAGCTACAGTATTAAGATAGAGTGGTACTGCCCAAACCGGTTGGGCTCAGTGGTAGAGCGTCGGTCTGCGGACTGAAAGGTCCCGGGTTCGATTCTGGTCAATGGCATGTGCCTTGGTTGCAGGCACATCCCCAGTAGAGGGTGTGCAGGAGGCAGCTGATCGATGTTTCTCTCTCATCGACGTTTCAGGCCTCCCTTCCTCTCTGTAAAATATCAATAAAATATATATATTTTTAAAAAGATAGAATGATACTGGCATGCAGATAGATGTAAAAATAAATGGAATGAAACAGAGAACCCAGAAATAAACCCACATATTTATGATTGATCTTTAATAAGGGTGCCAAGACATTTCAACAGGGAAAGAACCCTCTTTTCAACAAATGGAGTTGGGCAACTGGCTATCTATATGCAAAAGAATGAAGTCCACACTCTAAGGAAAGTCTACGGGAAGAGATGCTGGAACTGAGTCTCAAAGAAAGAAAATTCCCTGATGCAAGCAAAAGGAAGATCACAAGCAAAGTCATGAGACAGCATGGATTAAGTGTATGAATGGAACCGTGAAGAGTTTACCGCATGCTTTAGAAGCAGGCAGATGAAGACAGAGAGCAGATATAAAATAAGACCAGTTAGAAATCTACTGCAATAATCCAGGAAAGAGATGCTGATGTGTGAATGAAAATATTGGCAAGAGGGATAGAGTCAAGAAAGGGAGTTCTAAATTTGAGGTTTATTGCCTGAGTGAATATGGTTTTGAGGGGAAAGGATCTATGATAACTCTCAGAAATTTGCCTATAACACTACTAGGACATAGATAAGAATTACAGTCATGTATCACACAATGACATTTTGGTCAAAGATGGACCACATACACCATACAGCCTATGTGTCTAGTAGGCTATACCGTTTGGGCTTGTGTAAGTATACTCTATGATGTTCACATAGATGAAATTACCTAACAATGCATTTCTCAGAACCTATCCCTGCTGTTAAATGGTGCATGACTGCAACCTAAGGACTCATGAACCACTTTATGAGGGTACATTGCCAAATCAATGTATTTCGAAAGTCAATGAATAAGACTAGTATTACCTGTAAGTAAGAAAGGGTAACTAGTAACACCTCACTTAGGTACAGATTTTTTTCTTTAACTTATTTTGACACAATTTGGACTTGGAAAAAGGTACACAAAGAATCCAATATACCCTTCACTTAAATTTCCCAAATGTTAACATTTTAGGTGAGAGATTCTTAAAATATTTTTAATATTACTCACTTCACTTAGCTAAAGGTCAATTATTCAGAAACCTCAAAAAAATAGGTAAAATAAGAGAATTTAAATAACTGCTCTAGTATAATTTTAACATGTTTGGTCACCTGGTTTTCCAAACCATGGGATAAGCAGCAGAAAATAAGAGGGATGAGGAAAGCAGTGTTCCCTCAGTCTTTAAAAAAACACAACTTTAGATGAAAAATGTTATAGAGACAAAAAGGGATATTTTATAAGTATGAAAAGATTAATTCATTAGAACATTCCCAATAAAAGAGTAAAATACAAATTGACCATCACTCCAACACACAAGATGGCTGCTCCCATGTGGTCAAAGATCCTGCCCCCATGTGGACACAAGATGGCCACCACAAGTTGGCCAGCAGGGGAGGGCAGTTGGGAGGGACCAGGTCTGTAAGGGAGGGCAGTTGGGAGCGATCAAGCCTGTAGGGGAGGGCAGTTAGGGGTAGGATCAGACCTGAACGGACAGTCGGATATCACTCAAGGAGTCCCAGATTGGAGAGGGTGCAGGCTGGGCTGAGGGACACCTCCCCCCATGCACGAATTTTGTGTACCTGGCCTCTAGAAAAATTATATACATCTAACAACAAAGCCCCAAAATACATTAAGTTAAAAGTGATAAGAGCCGGACTGGTATGGCTTAGTTGGTTGAGCATTGTCCCATGCACCAGAGGTTGCTGGGATCAATTCCCAGTCAGGGCACATGCCCAGATTGTGGGCTCAGTCCCCAGCAGGAGACATGCAGAAGGCAGACAATCGATGATTCTCCCTCATCTTTGATGTTTCTATCTCTCTCTCTCTCCCTTGCTCTCTCTGAAATCAATAAAACATATTAAAAAAATAAAAGATGCCACCAAGGAAGTGAAACACAAAAGCCTTGGAGAAAATATGTGCAAATCATTTTTTCTGATAAGAGACTAGTATTCAGAACATACAAAAAATTCTTACAGGTCAATAATGAAAAGATAGCCGAGGCCGGTTTGGCTCAATGGATAGAGCGTTGGCTTGGGACTGAAGGGTCCAGGGTTCGATTCCGTCAAGGGCATGTACTTTGGTTGCGGGCATATCCGCAGTAGGGGGTGTGCAAGAGGCAGCTGATTGTTGACTCTCTCTCATCGATGTTTCTGACTCTCTATCTCTCTCCCTTCCTCTCTG